CAGTACTAGCTAATAGAATTTCGAGATACAAAAGCAGCAACAGTTTTGGTCCAAGGCCTACGGTTGGTGGTCCTGTCTCCGGCCGATTTTGGAGTGAGAGAGAGGCAGATAAAATTCTCCTTAAGCAGGTTTGGTGTCTGTCCAGTGGAGGGCACATTGTACGCATACATTACCTTAACTTACTGGCTACGAAGTACAAGTCCCTCGGTAATGGACATTGTCAAACAACGGACTACTATGTACAAGAGGCTCTTTGGCTGCGCTTTGTTATTCGATAGCAACCCCCCAACCTCTGGGATATCGCCAACTCGTCTCCAACTGGTCATGCTCACATGTCCAACCAGTCAGTGTGCCTGATCTCCTCGAGAAGACGACCATGTCACTTCTTCTGCGTTGGCTTGGCTGCCTTTCTTCGCACTGGGTGCATTCTGAGATGTTTCCTCGTCCATCTGGCCTTCAAGTCTTCTCTGTGTGTCAGTACTTCATACTGTCGTATGCCTTCCTGCCCGTCCCGCTCCCAGCTCCTGTCAGTCAATACAGTGCGCAATGCTCGCCCGATACCGAGTGGGGGCTTCGCAGGGACCGGTGTCGACGGATTGCTGTTTTAGCGGTTGAGCCGTCGGACGGGCTCGCGGCTCTTCCCCGTGGCTTTCGCTACATCCAGCATTGCTGCTGCAACGAGCTCTGATTCTCGCAAAGCTGCTGCGCATCCCACTCTCGGCTGTTTGACCATTATCCTCCCCAGGGATACTCTATAGATTGTCAGCTCAAGTTACCTAAGAACGAATATATGACAAGATGGTTTCCCACATCAAACACTAAACATGTTAGCCATCGGGCAGGCTCTATTGCACCCCCCTCATATATACAACGGAATAACAAGATAGGGCCTTTGCGAACAGATTTGGCAGAGTTTGATACAGTTCCTTCCAAGCCTTGATTCATCGTACGACCTTGCGCCGCGGTATTAGCTTGCTGTGGCCGTGCCCAAAACGGCAGTGACAAAAACTGCTAATTGGGTTCGGGATGCAAGCAATGGTCAAACCCGATATAAAGACTGACTCGAGTCGTCCTAATCGGTCAAAGGTCTCCCTACTACAGTAGTATCCAGTTCGTGTCCCTCTTTCCTTCTGGCTAGCCGGACCTCACGGGCTGGAGATTGACAGGTACCATTCATCAGAGGCTAGCATGACCATAGCTACCAGCTGCGGGCTGCTTGGAGAAGGAATGATGCATCCATCTGCGCAGTCAAGACTGGTTCCCGAAATAGCTAGCAACCTCAAGCCCAAAAATCAGTCGGCATGGCGTCTAACCCAGGAGGTAGGTAGGTAGGTGCATTAGGTATTGATCAATGATGTGTTACTATGTAGTGCGGTAGTCTGTTGCATGAGTATCTACCTACCTAGTAGTCTATCAGCAATGTACGTACGTTGGGTTCACCGGCAGGTATGCATGGGAATGGAGAACCTGCAGCCCTTCGAGAACGAGGCTGGTGCTTCCAAACGTCACAATAGCCCCCAAGTATTACATGTCAGTGGTAACGGAAACCAGTCGGCAGATGGGGCCAAAAAGAACTATATGCACTGTGTTCCATATATTGATTACACAAAGGACATTGAACCTTGAAAGATCTCATCCGTACATATGCCACGGTAGGTAGGTTGGTCGGGGCAATACGCCAAAGGGTCACCTGCGGAATAACGACAACCTAGCTCCTATATTGCGTTCCCTCCTTTGGCCTGCAAGCTCATTTCCGAAAGTCTGGACTGCATTGAGACAGTATTCATACAGTACAGAGACGCACAACTGCCAATGGCTCCATTCTTGTTTTGACCTTCCAGAGTCATAGGATATACCTACTGTGTACTACCACCAACCTCTGTCTATTCAGTGACTACCCAGGTAGTAATCATGGCATATTCCAGATCTGTCAAGGGCCCCGGCCTCGAGGCAACGAGGGATAAAACATGGTCGCTAATGTAAAGGGACGTACGCTTCTTCAATTACCATGTTGTACTACTTGCTTAGGTAGCCAGTATGTGAGCGGGGAAATAATAAGGTACTATCTATTAATTCTGGTCTTGCGTCTTTCGAAAATGAGGGGTTACTGTTAGCGAAGAGTCATGCGACACCTCTGAACGACCCGAGTGACCGATGTAGTCAATGAAGCCCCTCTATCGATAGTGGTCAGGTTGTAGATTTGTTTTTGACGTACTGATGTATTGACCTCTTTGATAAGATGGAAATGGGGCGCTCTCCAGGTGGTCCAGGCACTTGTGGGTTCTCAAATCGCATCCAGTGTCTCCTCACTGGTGGGTGGCTTGCATCGTGAGGTTGAATGTTGTGAGCAACCCAGTAAATGTACGTACTCTGCGGGGTTGCCGATATACATCTAGCACGTACCGACCAACCTCAAGTGCTACTACTACTACACTACATACTCCAAGCTGTGTCCATCTACTGACGCAGACACCACCTACATACACTACTATATCATGGAATACCAGACTGTTGGAAGCGAACGATTCCAAGCTACTTGATAATAAGCTCAAGTTGCGTGTCTCGATGGGCCCCCCACCTTCCCAAGTTGGCGCCACAAAGCGCAATCGCCAGTCTTGTTTTGTTTCCTCATTGGGATCGATGCATTGTACTATGTAGTCATGATCACTGGCTACTATAGTGTGTCTATATACTTTCCAATATCTATTGCAACGCCTAAAATGATTGCCACTGAGCTGCCCAGGGGTTGACATTACTGACTCAGCCTTGGTTGTATCGCCATTATTTCCACACAGACGGGACCTGCTTGTATGTATCGTGAACGGGACCCTCCCGAACGGCTCGCTGCTTTTGCAAGAACACCTTTGCAATTTATTCCAGGGAAACGACGCGCGCAAAAGAAGCATTGACGGGTTTCGCTTGAGTGACACGCCGCCAAGGGAACGAGAATAAAATTTAGAACAACTCGATCTTCTACCGGGATTCTCGCCAAATAGACAGAGAGAAAATCCCTTCACAAGGTACAGCATTCTATTAAATTTTCCAGGGTTGTCATCCGCCGGCTCCTAGTCAACTGGTACCGTACGGAACAAAGCGGGCTGACGACAGGTAAAAGAACCCTTGCTGCTGGCAAATGAATTTGCGTCCGTCGAGAAAAGCTGAGATGCATGGCCTGCCAAAGCCTGTCTGACTGGCGACCTACCTAGCGAAACCCCCTTTACGATGACACGAGCTAAGTCGACGGGACAGCATCCGGGAGTCTCTGACCTGCTGCCAAGTGGGAATTGCGCTTCTAGAA